CAGTTTGCATTTTCTAATGCCCATCTCCAGTGCTTTTTGCTGAGCTGCCCTGTGTGCAATGAAGGAGTTGCTTGTTGATCCTACCTTAAAATTTCCTTTTCTTTTGATCCCTGCAAAATTACATGATAACAGAACAGGTATGTGATAAACTTAATCCTTCTGTTTGTGGGTTGGTCCATGCTTTCTTGTATTTTAAATGTTATTCTGTCTGTAATTATCCACTCTATTTTATACCTATCTTTAAAATTATGTGGGCAACAGCCGTTTTCCGTTATGTTTATCTTTGGTTTATCAAAGATGTAAAATGTGACTTCTGCATGTGAAGCTTGACTTTGAAACTAACATGAGTTGTATATTCAATTCCACATATATATTTTATAAATGTTTAAGCTGCTTATTACTGAAATGTAGATTAATACAATGTTAGTATTTGTATCAATTCCAAAATAAGCAAACACCACCAACATCATGTTTTGTGCTGCTTTTACAGTGATATCCTTCAGTGTGGTCTGTCAAAATACAAACAGGTTTTATGGAGTATTTTTACTAAACAGTCAACAGGTTTTAATTTAGGGTCTTAAATCATAATTGTTTTTCAATTTTCTGCTCTGCCTCACAAAAGCATAATGAGGGCACACCTGATGCTATAAAAACCAGATGTCATTTCAGTATTCCAGGACTGTGATAAATTTGGAGATCTTAATTTTAGTATCATAGACGTATAGTTATCAAGGAGCTCACGAGAACAGAAAGCATGTAAAGCGTTGCTAAATAAATAGGATTTGGGAATGATTGCACTTTAATGTCAGGGACTTTCAAAATGCTGAAAATATGGATGGAATTTTGTTAAGGAATGCTCAGGAGACTATTTCAAACTGACAAGCAATATATTCAAATTCTTTCTTCCTACAAGCCATGTTTAATGTCACAATACTACTTGCACTTGATCACTGTGATTGGAAGAGCATCAAGCAGACCTGAAGGAAAGCTTGACCACGTAATTCGTGCGAACTCTTAGAAACATTACTCTTCTAGCTTTCTCACTGAGACAAAACTTCTTAAAACAAGATGTTCAGTGGGAACTGAACTGTACATGAGATACACATGGAGCTTTTTAATACTTGTTTCTTTAAACAGGTTCAAATTCTCCATACAGGAAGAATATGGAAACCATCTATATTATATATTCATATATATATACACAATAATGATAATTTCACAGAAATTGTCGCAGTCTATGTCACCCATCTCTGGTTATCACTGGGCATGAAGTCAAATGCAAAAATCTGTAATGTCCATCATGTTCATTCCTTATTTTGTGTTAAGACGTCTCTCTTTTCACAACCAAACTTAGGGTCCAATTCTCCATCTCCCAAACCATTTATCCTATTATAAAGCAAATCAAGTGTCAAGACATGAGTTGAGGTTGTTGATACCCTTATGCTCAGCTGTCATGGTATGAATGTGCAGGACATTTGAGGAGCTGCTTGTGTTCTGGGTGTAGCTGTGGATGTCTATTTTACGGTTGTTGAATCATGAAATGAACATGTTCTGCTAAAGAAATGAATCCTGCATGCTTCATTTTCTTGGGTGTCTCTTTCTGAGCCTTGTTCATCACGACTTAAAAACTGCATGTTCATGCATACATGTGCATGTACAGTTGAGTGTGTATAAATATATGTATGTATGAAATCCTGGAATATTTAGCTAGGTTATTTACAAGATGTTAGTACAGCAAACTGCAAGTGATGCTAGTTTTACTTAATAAGAAATTAATGACTACAAGTTTTGTTGAGGTTTGGGAGAATACAGAGGATGGGCAAGTAGAGTGTATATATATACCAGGACATTAACTCCTTCTAGCTATACATCCTGTTGAACTCTGGAGCTGAAGCTAATGACAACTTGTTGGTAAAGAGGTATGAAGCTTTTTATTGGTTTTGATGGCTTTTTTGTTTTTAGCAAAAAAATACCTTCCGAAGTAAAATGTAAGGATTCCTGTTTGAATTGTAAGGAAAGTCACCTTTGCTAGGAATTGATAACCATTTATTTTTAATTTAATAATTAGTCTTCTGCTTCACTAGTCTTTCCCATAGATGGGGAAAAATTTACCTTCTCCAACTATATGTTTAATTACGTTAAAATTTTGAGTCAGAATGGGTATGTTACAGATAAGCTGTCAATTTGAGACTAAGCAAACTGAATGTACTCAGCTGAATGAATCCAGTACCGTGAACATGAACTGTTGTAAATAAGAAAGGAGATAGCCAGAAGCTTTACAGTATTCAAGAAGTGTCAGATCATGTTAATTTGAAAGGGATGGCAACACTCTTTCTCCACCTGCGCAGACACAAGTATTCTGTTTCACTGAGGATGGGCCATCTGGGTCTTTATGAGACCCTGATGTTTGCACTTTTATTGTTGAATTTCAGCATTTTTGGAATAGCCATTCAACTTGTTTTGTAGAATCCCAGATCTTTCCTGTCATAAAGATTTAGGTAGGTGAGATTAAAGCAAAATGTTTGTCCTTCCACCTTTAAAGCAATTTCATCTGTTTTGTTGAGTGTTACAAAACCTGTTTTCAGAAAGCTCTTTTACCAGCATATGTTGCTGTAAGGACAATTGGGATGAACTATTAGGAACTCTTGACTATGGTGTAGATGTGATTTGTTGTTGAGGACAAAGTACTCCTGATGATATGGAACTATCAAGACTCATAGAAATGTGAGGAATAGGCTCCCATTAGATCTGTTTTGTTGTATCCAACTCAGCAAAGCAACATGGGATTCTTCCAGATCTCCATACTCTAAAGGAATTGTCTAAAGGACTGGGTCACCCTTCAGGGAATCTGCTTTAATACATTGGCATGACTGAAAAACTTTGACAAGTTTTGCCTTGGGGTATGACTGCTAGAATATTTGTATTTTGTCAAAACTTCTAAATGAAAAAATACTTCTTTTCTATGTTGCATGTTTAAAAGAACACATTCCATTAACAGTAAATGCTGTGGAAATTCATAACACTTAGCTTCTGAAAAATGCATCACTATGAACAAAAATACTCTGAATTCTGCTTTAAAGATAATATTTATATTTTCTGCTGTGGGAGTAATTGGGGAAGAATATAATTTGAGCTTGAGAATGTCAGTAAAAGTGATATGCACTGTTTAAGTCCACCTAAGCTTTCCTTGTTTGAAATTTTAAGTAAAGGCTTCAATGAATTCCTCTGCATAAGGATAAATTTAGCTCCAAGAGCAGTGCAAAACAGACTTGTTGATCAGTGTGGGAGTGATTGCTGTGATTCCTGACTATAAAGGTGCTGTCATTTCTGCAAAGGATCTGTGCAGGGGGAGGCAAAACATGGAACAGATTTCGAAAAGGTAAATCATGGGTCTGTGGATATACCCAAAAACTCATATGGGGCCATATTCTATTATGAATCACAACTTTGGTTTTTTATTGTAAATTATTGTTCTTTAATTACATCTTCAGCTATAATTTTGTGACCATTTTGTGTGAAGAACTCAAAACTGGACTGATAAAATCAGCTTAAAAGCTCCTTACTATTTAAATATTGCCTCAGCTATTTTCATAGCTTGATCATGCTTTAAAAATGCTTGAATTTCTGTACAAAAATAACAGTCCCTTACTTTTGGTCATGGTGGTGTTCTCCAGGTCACTCTTCAAGCATGTAGGTTATTTCCATTTTCTTGTGATGTGAAAATAATAAAACCACCCCAAAAAAGGCTGTGTTTCCCAAAGAAATGTGAAAATAATAAAATCACCCCAAAAAGGCTGCATTTTCCAAAGAAAGAGCACCACTGCACCTGCAGAAATATATATGCACTTATTATACTGAATTTCTGCATTCTGTCTGCTGGTACTGAAATGGAGGAGATGCTGGGAAGTCTCCTCTGCTGTCAGAGTCGTCCAGACTGTGTGCCCTACAGGTTTGGGATAATGAAACACTGAGTGGAAGTGGAGGCATCCAGTCCATCCCCAGACCTCTCTGGCAGTGAGCATGTGTGTTGCTGTCAACATTTCATGATGGCCAGCACAAAGGGGGCAAGCATGGTTGCTCTGGCTCCACAGACACCTATTTATAATCTGTTCCAGTGAATTCCTGCCACTGCTGAAAAAGAGATGTAGCTATCATCATTTCTGCTTGCTTTGCAAAAAGCAGGCTGTGATTTCACCCTTCGTGTCTCACTAGAAGTCTAGATAAATCATCTGAAGTTGGCCAGAAAACTTGAGAAGAATGTGATCTACAGCTGTGATCTGTGTCTTTCCCATTTTTATAGGGGTATCTGTATAAAAACGGCATGCATTAAGGTAACGGCAGAATATACACGTGCTGGGTAAGCCTGTGTTGGTCATTCCTACACGACGTGCCAGAAATCCCCGTTGGCTGTAGTCACGAGTAATTGCAAAGTTCTTTTTGACAAAACAATCAAGCTGCTGTAATTCGTGGTGCAGGTCAGCACATGGAACTTGGTGCAAGTATGTGCTGGATGTGGCTGCTATGGTGATTAAATACATAAATATAATAGATAAATATGGACCATATTAGAAATTCATTACTGGCACCGTCTCAGATGAGAGTCGGCTCCAGCGCGCGGGGTCACTCGTGTTTCCTTACGCGGAGTGGGCCCTCCTGGACGGGGCGCGTGAGCTCCTGGAGGGGCTAGGCGCACGCAGTGGCCCCATCCTACCTTGTCAACTAGCAAATTCAACGCAAAAACGGTAAACAAAGGGCTTTTGTGCATGTTTTATAGTTCAGTGAGGATTAGTGGCCCGACACGATTTTCAGATGGGCAGGCTTAGTGTTAGCTTGCCTGAGGTTAACGAGGGAGGACGCGGGGCAATCTGTAGAGGCTGAAGCAGAAAGGTCTTGCTCCGATTTCGGATGCGGTACAGAGAATCGTGAAAAGTGGGTTCAGCTTACCTGGGTCGGTGCGCCGGGCACGTGTTCCCTGCTCTGGCCGCCGTGGGATGTGGATCATGCCGATCTCAGGCTCTCACTCGCAGTCCTCCCCGCAGCTTCAGAGGGCCCCTCCGCCGTGGTGGACATCCTGCCTGGTCGTGGGCTCTGCCTGAATCAGATCCCTGCTTTTCTTTCCCCGCTCACCTTTTAGCATTCTCCAGCTGTAAAATCCATCCCTTTCCTGAAATGCAGAACGATGCACTTGTCCGATGAAGTTTTTCCAGGCGGGACTCAGATTCCAAACAAGCCTTTCATTTCCTTCGCGTGGGGGGGAGAGTGAAGGCAGGGAGGCGAAGGAAAGTGCTCGCTTCCTTTAAATCCCCACCAGCGTCTTCCCAGCGCTGGAAGTGAAGTAGCTTGTCATGGTGATCTTCAGAGTTTAACTTTAGGGGGGGAGGGAGAAAGTGGAAAGCAAACTGAATGCTGTAGTGGAGATTTCTCTCTTCCCCCACTGGGCCCCTTGCCGACTGTTTTTATTGATTTCAATCACTGGAGGCTAGCTGGCTCTCAGAAGAAACACTGTGTAATGTGTTCTTTCCTGGCTTTCATTAAAGAAACTCAATGCAGTGCGGTCACGCTGCCGAGCTCGCCTGGCAACCTGCCTACACCCTGTGGTACCTCTTTCATTGGAGGAGATCGAGCTCGTGGTTTGGGGGTTTTTTATTTATTTTTTTTTTTAAATTCTCCACCAAGGATTTCAAAACAGCCTGTGCTCTGCTTCTACCTCCTCTTGCAGCCTAAAGCCTTTTTAAGCTTCGGAAGAAATTGTCAGCACCCCTAAAGGGGACGACTTTGGTGGCGGTGAAAACACCGAGTGTTGCGACAGCCTCGTGCTCCTTCTATTAAAATTCCTCTGTGCGTTCTGGGGAAGGGTTAAAAGGGCTGTGTGTAAGCCACGGGGATGTGGATACAAATGATTTCCTAGGGGTTTCCTTTTTTTTTTTTTTTTAATTCCATCTTCGCCTGATTGGTTAACATGGTTTAATTAAGGGTAAGAGAGTAAGCAAAATCCTTCAGCAAATATGTGAAAATTCCTGGCAGTGCTTCTAGTTGCAAATGAAGCAAAACTGCATTCCCCAAGCCTGCAGTCGCAGTGGTGTCTTAAATATTTCTGTTGTATTCAGGACTGTGATACTGGTGGAGAAAAATGAGAAATAAAATATGGTACTAATTTATGCCTTAGAACTTAATCTGCCACACTATGTATTTTATAGGGGCAAACAATCTATAAAGTAGAATTCAACAAGGTAGGTTCTGTAAATCGTATTGTTCTGGGTACCTATAAATGTGTTCATTTAATTTAGTAAATTGTTCAATTTCTTCTTATTCAGCAGTTCCTAATGATAACGCTTTATGTGCTCTTCAGAACTGACTGTAAATCTGTGAAACAGGGAAATATCACATAGTTGTAAATTAAGCCGGGCTTCAAGCTAATAAAGGTGCATCTATTCTAAATTACAGCTGCGAGTTTAGGGTGCTACCTGATCGCTTGTGCTTGTGAGATACTATAGCTGTGCACACAAGGACTCTTTTTTAAAAAAAACCCAAACATTTACACAACCACTAAAAGAATCCTTTCCTGGATCAGAAAGATAAAAAGCTTGTTCTTGTTTAAATCTGGCTTCCTGCAGAACTTGTTTGAGGCTTTTCTGCTTGGGTTGCATCTACAGAAACCTTTCCAAATCAACTTAATGTAATTCCCAGTGTTTTTGTTGTGAGGAGTTGAGATTCTAAAAACACCCAGCTTTTATGAAAAATTTTAGTTTTTTCTTTGAGCAATGTATAATTTAAAAAAAAATCCCTTTATCTGTAAGTGCTACAGACATAGTGTAAGGAGGTATACTTCTACAAATGTTACTTTTAAGTCAAAATTTGCTTTCTGCATGGTAATGAAATTTCATATGCCCTCTCTGGTCATACTTCTTCTTTTTATAAGGTGCTAAATGATAGAAAATAGTTATTTAAATTCAATATGGCAGTGAACTATTTTATGCAAATTCTATAACTGTAATTGTAGCAGAGTTCTTTGGCAAGCCTCAGATAGTAAATCATTTGTCAGTCTTTCTTGTATGAACCTTGCATCTAAGGATTTGCCAGCCTTTCTTCTTTGTAGATTTTGAACTGTGTTTATAGATGCTGCTTTTTGTTTTTAAGCGGGCAGATGGCCAGTTATTTTTCTGGGTTCATATGTATTGTGTAAGACAGAACGTTTTGCATGCTGGTATCATGCACAGGGCATTTTGGGGGCAAAAGGCTACTTGTAAGCAGAAGCCATTATGTGATGGGTTGGTAGCTCCTCCTCAGCTCTTGATTGGTGAACAAACCCCTTTTGACATTTCTCCATATTAAAAGTTATGAAATAATATGACCTTAATGAACAAACAAGGTGATACAATGTTCCTACTATGAAATAAGCCGTATCATCCATTTCCCCATCTTTCCCTTTGGAGTTCAAAAATTTGATGCCCTTTTTATATGTTTGTCACTGTTAGTCAAGTTGTAATTTATTCCTCTGAATTTCTGATGTTGCTTGCTTTTCTGTTGTATAGACTTGTGTTGCTGTTGTGGTAGAAAAGGATAAAAGTCTGTTGACTTGTGGAGGAGCTGGATTCACTGGTACTAATAAATAGTGAATTCGGTGTTGTGGTTGGTCTGTGGTTACTGCTATAGTTTTGGCAGCAAAGTCGAACCCTGAACAGGCAGAAAGTTCAGCCCTACACAGGCAAATCCCAGAGGCAAATTTGTGTTAAGTGAATACTCAGTTAATTGTGGTAGTTCTTCTGAGTTTCTGACTCTGTCAACCTTATTCTGTGCTGACAACAGACAACTAGTGTTGCAAATGCAGGAGTGTTCGAAACAGTGACAAGTGAGAAGGAGGAACAGAAATCTTCAGAAGATGTCTTCAGTTTACTCAAGTATGAGGCAGTCAAGGACCTTTGGGTAACTATAAATCTGGAAACAAATTAAAAAATGCACTTACTGCTCTGCTGAAACAATACAATTACTGTGCTGTTAATACCATCTTCTTACTGGTTGCCCTGTTATTATTGTTCATAGTCCCCTGACAGTATAAGCTCTGGAAAACTACACCTGTTCGGTTTTGCCACTCTTGCTGAAGAAAAAAGGGTCAGATATCTTCAAGAAATCCTGTCTTGGTACATCTTTTGCCAGTTTCTGCCAGTTACAGTTATTTTTCTCTGTTCTGAATTGCTCAGCAGGACTGCTTTACACTATTAAATGCTTTACTTCAGTTTGAGATGGTTCTCCTTTTATGATGGGTAAGCTAATTTCTGAGGATCACTTACAAAATGTTTTAAATTTGTGCAATATTTCCAGATTACAAAAAATAATGGAAAAATTTAACTGGTATTTAAAACTGCCACAGCTGAAGCGTCCAGATATTTTGAGTCAGATGTCTTAGCCTGTTTACAGTATATTGCTATGTTTACATACAATTCAGAAATGTAGAGACTGGCATTGTTGAAAAGGACTGAGTTGGCAGTCACAGCACTGTGCATGCAGATGGACGTGGTGTAGCACGAACTTTGGGAATTTACTTCAAGACATCTGAGCTCACATCTCCATACCGTGGCAAAGATGACACGAGTTTTTATGAGCGTTAAGTGTTAAAGATTTGGGGGTCTGTCTTTTACTCAAAATATGGCATCCAGTGGCGATATCCCTTTTAGCACCTTTTCAGGCCTTCTGGAAAGTTTTCAAGTGGAAGACTCCCACCTCCTTAATCACGAGAAAACACTGGCTCTCCTCTGAATGTCATTCATTCAAGTGTACTGACCTAGCTTGACCTTGTTTAGATTGAGATCTAATGAGCCCACGATCCAAGGTGGTGTGGTAGCTCTCAGCAGGCTTTGGAAATAAGCAAGTGTTGTGTTTTTCTGTATGCATGTGGTTTAAATTTATCACGCCAATAAACAAGTGTCTCACATGCTCAAATACGGACTTTACAGTGTTGTAGTTCAGACTAAATTGTAGCACTACAAATTGTGATGTCACTTTGTAAATATAAAAGGAGGCAACATGCAATATTTATGACCTCAAAACAATGACGTCCTGTTGGTTGGGGTTTTTTAATTTAAATAATGCCATAATGCTAAAAATCTTAATCTTAATGGCTCACAAACTTTGGACACGTTTCAGAAATACAGTCACATTAATGGTTTGCAAAGTGGAAAGCGAAATTAAAAAATAAGGCTGTTGCTGTAAAGAAAGGAGAGATGCATCAGTAGAGTATCATAACAGAGATTATCCAAGTTAAAATAAATACAGCTAGACTTTAAATTCCAGTGAAAGGTTTTGTTTTGTTTTCTTATAAGTGTCAGGTTCTGGGGAAGGTTGGTTTTAGTTGTGGTGTTGGGGTTTTTTGGGGGGGTGTTTTTTAAAATTGCAATAAAACTACCCTCAGCTTCACTTGAGAATATACCACCAAATGTAGGTATTTTATGAAGCACATAAAACTTGAGGCTTTCAAATTAAAAACCAGTCCAGGACAGATTGTGGTATGTACTACTAGATTAATCAAGTTGACACGGATGGATAAAAGTGTAGTTGCAACTAGCAAAGTTGTTTGAGCTGTAAGTTTGTGAGGGCTTTCACGATATGTGTGCTGGGAGTCCCAAACAGACGAAGCCTGAAGAATCTGATTTTCCTTGGATGATGCTGTGGGCTCACAGAAGGTACCTCCAGCTGTAAATCCTGACTCTTTCACGCCTGGGACAGCACTGGCCCCGCAGGGAGAACAATGCTCTTGTTTCAGACAGCCCACAGTGCATCAATTGCGATGCTGGAAACAAATGTTGTTAGGGCTCGCTATTTACGTTGGGACCTACAGGGAGGGAGCAACTTGTTTTGTTTTTAATGGAGCGGTCGGGTAGAGGGATAAAAAGCTTTTTGATAATGCGAGGAATGTGGGGGGGAAGGGAAGGTACAGAGATATGCATTTACTGTAAGTATGAAGAAGCAGAGGCCTCTTTATCAGACCAGCTCTAATGATGTGCCACAGTCACTTTATTTGAAAGCTTCATGGCTCACAGAAAAGTAAACAAATTCATTACATTATTTTTAAAAGAAGATTAACTGTAGTGTGTCGTCTGTTGGACAGCTGCTGTAGTAATCTTCTACAAACACTTTATAAATGACCACCCTCAGTGTTTTCCTGGGCTTTGTGTGGCTGGATTGTTATTTTAGTAAGTACCAGGGTGGCTTTTCAAATGAAAACGTCGTTTCCTGTATAACAATTACATACCTACCTTCACCTAAATATTATTTTATTCTCAGCATGAGTTATAAAATGCCTTCTATACAAATGCAACATATGTTGCTTTTTTGCTGGCTTTTCCATAAAAGTAGCTAAAAAGTATTTTAAACAAAAACCCCAAATACTCTTTACTGTCCCATGCCATTTATTCTAATTTCTGCTTTCTTGCCCTTTTTTGGTCTTTGAAAATGAAAAGTTGAAAAGATGAGTGAGAGTAAACTTAGATGATACATGAATTGACACTGAAAAAATGTTTAGTCCTCAGCAGGTGTCTTTGGCAAATAAGATTGTGTTCAGGTATTGTCTTAAACCATCCTTTGCTTCAGCCTCAGCAAGAATAATGTTATTTAGCACCGTGTCTGGATTTTTGTTTGTAGGCAGTTGGCTAATGCAGATTGATATAACGCTAAGGATTTGTCAGTTTATAAAGTGGTTTTAACCAATTTTTCCATAAATCAGTTGATCTTCTTGTGCATTCAGTTTTCAGTTATGGTTCCTCAAACAGGTGAGGAGGGAGCAGAGAGTTCAGAAAGAGTGTTTTGTTCACACTCAGTTTTGCCTCCCTGGGTGTCTGATGCTCTAAGAGGGAACCTTACCTGGCAAGTACATTGCTATAGTAAAGCTGCTGGATCTGAACCAAGTCCACTCTGTCAGTGTGATTCTTGTTCTCGGAAAGGGTGGTGGTGGTTAGACTCCTTTATCTGCCTCAGCCCTGGGATGTGAGATCCTAATACAGCTGCTGTAGGCATGGGTGGCTCCTCTGGGCTCTGCGTACTTCACCTTCATCAGCTTATAGTTGAAGTGTCCGAGAGATGACTTCTGCAGGTTTGGCAGAAACATAAGAAAGTGTAGTTTATTTTGAGCAGAACAATTATGTATCTAAATAACAAACGCATGCAATTCCCCATTTTTCTGTCCTTGTCATCGAGTCTGCTTCAAAGTCCACTTGTGTACAGATAAGGCAGACATTTCCTGGGCCACCTTCCATCCGTGCCATTTCCACTGCTGTCGGTGGGTGGTTTCTCCCTACCCAGAGACCCCATCTTCTTAGAAATACAGCCTGACCTCGCAGGAATTGCTCAGGTTGTCTTAACCTTGCTCAGGTTGTCTTAACAAGCCCAGCGTAACTGTTGCTGAGGAAGTAGATTAATTAATGGAGTCATATGCAAATCATTACTGCTTGGGCAAAATCTCTATTACGTTTCATGTTACTGCAAACACTGTTTCCACAGTGTTGCCCACAGCTCCACCTCTTCTTGTTAAATGTCATGAGCAGGATATTTAAAGGGTCTTGACAGAAGGTGCTAAATATGGTTAGATAAAAAAATGGGAGCCTGACAACCTATTCCAATATGAGCCTGTAATGTAGAAGTGTGTCAATGTTTGCAGTTGTGAATTGGCTACAAATGATAGTAGGGAAGTAGCACAGCACAGCAAATGGGAGCTAAAAACCCTGAGTTCATCACAATGCTTAATACTATTATTTTTGCTACTGGATTTCTGTTCTTAGCTTGGAAGAGAAGGTGATATTTAAATGGTCCTTGTTGCATACTTTTAGCCTGCATTTTATCACAGTGCCTGACCCATGGAGATGGCTCAGAAGCAGCAGTTCCTTAAGCCGTGATGAAGGTATCAAAGTATTATTTGGGACTGTGTGAGATCTGCAGCTGTCATAAAAGCGAAGAATTAGCAGTGCCCCTTCAGTCTTGGACTTGGAAATAAGTGAAAACAAGACTGATACAGTGTAAGAGTCTTGTTTGCAGAATTTCATACTTTTTTCATCGCTTAGTTGTTACTGGGAGGTTGCACTGAAGAGGTGGCTTCATAGTGGCCAAATCCCTCCCACTTCCTGAGGTACATAGAGGTTTCGATACCCAGAAGCTACTCTGTCTACAGTTTTGTGAAGGTCTACCTACAGTGATCATCAGAGTAGTTAGGGTTCTGTAAAGAGTAAATCTCTCTCAGGGAAATCTTGGGGAAAGCATTGAACAAACAGCCATCTAACACTAGACCAGCTGCAATATTTTTATGCTTCTAGTTGATACTTAACAATTCAGTGAGACTATTGCCTGGAAATATATGAATGAACCTCTCTCAGACATCTAGGATTCCCTGAAGTCAATCTCATCTTGCGATGGAACAGAATTTTATTTCTATACTGTGATCTTGCACTGGATTTTCCCTGATAAACTCAGTGTATCTGTTTAATGTTTTTAATCTGTATGTGAAATACTTTCATTTGGGGTATAATTATGCATATATTTATAGTAACGTGATTTTAGATGTGAATAATTAACTGTTCTGTCTGCAAACCTAAAGAAATTTCAATCTTTGTGGGATAGATTTGTATGTGTTTATTGAAGTTCATGCATATATTTACCCAAGATTACTAAAAGATCTCCAAGAGGTCTTGGATGAAGATGGTAGTTGTCACATCTTCTCCTTTGGCATAACAGAGGAAACCCTTGTTTGGCAGACAGAGGTTTTCTCAATGCAGCAAGGTGTGATGTTACACAACAAACAGCCCCAGAAACTAAGTTTTTTGAGGAAACCCTACTTCTCCCACTTAATCCATACCTTCCCTCCACTATGAAACAGCCTCTGCTGTTCACATTCAGTGCTTCAGAATGGGATGGGAGAACAAACAGCACAACAAATTTTAGATATGGTATTTAATATGTAGCTAGAAGGTGCTCAGATTACTGTACTGCTGAGAACAGGATAATCATCTATAGAGGGCAGTTCTACAGATTTCTGCAAGTGCAGTATTTACAGCTCTCTGAATTGACGAGAGTAGAGGGGTGATGGAAGTATAGTGAACAGTAAAATTATGAAGCTTGAAGCTTCTGGTATTAAATATTACCTGTGCCCTTCAATTGGATTTGTGCACATTTTGTTTACTTTCCTGTAGATGTATAAACACTTTATTTAAATGTTGATTTTGTTCAGGCAACAAAAGAAGAGGAAAAACTTACCGCAGAGGAAAGGAGGAAACTGGAAAGAAAATTAAAAAAAGAGCGCAAGAAGAAGGAAAAACAGCTGATGAGGGAAGCTGGAATCCCCACGAAAAAGGTGGAGCCCCAAAAGCAGTCGGGATCTGAGCGGGCTCTGGCCTATTTAACCAGGTAAGAATAGTAAAACCACTGCAGGTGCTCACTACAGAAGTAAGCCATAAACTGTGCCAGAAAGCTAGAACAAGCTGAGTCCAGTAATAACACATTAAAGGAAATTGCTGCAGTTAAGTACTAAATTAATGCTTCATCTCAGCTGGCACCCCAGCACACAGTTGATCACCCCATTGTATTTATATCACAGGAACAACTGAGAAATGTTAAGTATGGTGCAAACATTTTATAGAAAAACAGATTCTGTCCTGAAGATCTTATAGTTGATATATAAATATCACTGGGTTAGCTGCACTTAAAAAGATGAAAGGCACATTGCAGGAAAGATTGCATTGAGGAAATTGGTTTTATTTCTTGAGTGCGCTGTTCTAAGCAAAGGAGTTCCAGTTGTTCCCTTTATGTAAGCAAACTGCATGAAGTGGTTAAGCATTATGGAGTCTGAATTTAGCCACCTATATGATGTTTGGATATTTGTAAATTAAGATGGGATTACGCCACTGTTTTATAGTTAATAGTGTACAATGCCTTACTTTTGCATAGCAAGTAGAGTGTCAGATTTTAGTTGTGAAGCACTTACTTCATCTAGTTAGAGCACTTATTTAGAATACTTAAAATTCCAACATAAAGCAAAGTCTATAGTTAAACTAAAGAACTACAGCAAAGCATTCATAGTACCCTACAGACAGTAAGAGGTCAGGTATAAACAGGATGATAGTGTTTAATGTTTTTCCAGTCTGCAGAATATACCCTGTCTGTAAGACCTCCAGGACTGGCGTGTTACAAATAGTGGGTTACCACGTGGAATAATTCCAGGGTTGCATCTCTGGCTATGCTGAAAACTGAAGCATCCAGACTGTCTGAATTGTTACTTACCACTCTCAGTGGGGAGGGAGGAAATTAATTGCATTCCAGGCAGAGGGACATGTGCATTTTTGTTACATAACCCTCAGCACGCAGAGATAGCAAAATGACAATAACATTTTTGATCTGGAAAACAGCTGGAGTGGTTCACCACTGTTTTGAACTGCAAATGGATTGACAGCTCTGAACCATCTGCTCAGACTATACTTTTGTATGTGTGCTAGTAAGTGGTGGATCTCTAAAAGGATTTCAGTTTTGGAAAGCAAAGGGACAAGCTGTGGGTTTTTGATTGATATTCCACTGTTATCTGTATGGATTTTTGCCTCGTTAGGTGAGAGAATATGAAACTATATTTGAACTAATATTTGAACCAATTTGACTCTATAGTTTCACTTAACCTTTACCAAATTACTTTGAAATGGTAAAACTGCTATGTCATTTGGTGTGTATTACACAGAGTCCAAGGACTATATGAACAGCAATAGGCTGTGAGGGATTATTTCAGACAATTTGAATTTTGTAGACTTAACAGGGATATTCATAAGGTTCTGAACTGCCGAGCAAACATATTCACAGACATCATTCTAGCCCCAAATGTGCCAGGACCATCTTGCACTGGTGTAAATGACAGAAAACCAGCTTAATTCTTTTACACTTTGGATGTTTTTTCAACCCAGCAGGATTGGAAGAAGAAACAACTGGATTTAAAGTAATCAGAGAAGTAGTATATTAGCTGGGGAAGGGAGACTAAAATTCGAGCTGTGGAAGTCCACTGCAAAACCTCCAGCAACCTCAGTGGATCAAGGATTTCAGTCTGCATGTTTTTGTAGGGCTACAAGCATGAACATCTTATAGATGGAAGAGATTAATATGATTGGAAGTAAACAAAAGGGTGCTGTGGATTTATGTTTTGTCCCACCTACAATAAAAAGCCTTACGTGACATAAGGGTTCTAAGTGAAGTGGCATCTCAAACCCCTGACAACATGTGAATCTCCTGTAGGACAGATAGAACTTGAAGTACCATATGATAACTAAAACTGTCAGTTTTATTTATTGAGACTATTTGCAGTGTGAGAGCACAATCATATGAGACTTTAGCCTATGACAGGAAAGTATTGAATTTGTTTTAGTGAAATTTTGTTTGATAACTTTTAAAGAAAAACGTTAGAACGCATTCAGTGAAAGATTTTTTGTTACATAGCTAGGCTTTTGACATGCAAGAGAATATTAAACTTATTTTGTAGGTCGTACATATTTTAAGAGGTAGTAGTTCCCTCAGAGTGCAGAATCATAATTTTTGGTATGTATTACTTTGGTATGTACTTGGTATTTTTTAGTATCTCTTCACCAGGAGAACAAATTTCTGTTTCAAGCAGTAAGGTCAGGGAGCAATACTAAAATTTTACTTGGAGGAAATAAAACATAGCTAGTAACAGTTGGTGTTTTGCGCTTAGAAAGCCCTGCTTCTGCAATAGCTTTTTATGCTTCATTTAAAAACTAAAATGGAAATAGCAGACAGCCCACAGGCAGCACTCCCCTCTTCGTAGAGGCACGAGGTGACTTTCACGAAGATGTGCCTTTTAGCCCCTTATCCTTTTAGTCGAGGTGAGTTAATGAAGAGAGCACTGATGAGAGGGAGTAAGGCATGCGGCGTAGGGGGTAGGACTGCTGACTGCATACTGCCCTTCCTGACGGCTTTCAGACCAGCACTACAGCAGCAGAACTAGATTCAGAGTGATACGAAGCGCGATGCTAGACCCAGGCAGAGACGTGGCTGTCTTTGGTAGCACGGCTGATGTGTGCCCCCGCTGCCAGGGAGTGCTGGTGGTCTTGTAAACCTCTGGTCTGCTGGGCACAGTACACTTCTTCGAGCTGACCAGTTCTTCCAGTTTTCCAGGTTTTTTTATTTGAGTCTAAAACCAAATAGTCCTTGATGCTTTGCCAGCCTCCAGAGAGGTCAAATTATCATTTTATTGGAGGATCATCCTAACAATTGAGAGAGGCTTTTTTTCCCTATGCATATGAGATGACTACATGCAACAGCAGCTGATGCCAACTAGAAAACTGCAGCCCCCAGCTAGACCTGAGGGTGCTGAAGAGTTTCCTCTCTGAGCTGGCTGACACTGATAGGCCAGGCTTTTCACCTGCTTTCTCATTTTAATGAGACCAGGACAAGCATGCACCAGGTTTTGCACCCCTGATAGGGAAGAAGCCAAATGTCTACTGTTTTTTTCTTCTCTCACTTTCTGTTGCCCTGTGGGAAGAGGAAATAGGGAGAAAAAAATATCTTTGCTTCACCGATTTTTCTCTCATCTGTTCCCTCGATGAGATAAGCTCAGGCACTTTCTCAGTGCAGTTCTGTCTAATGCAGCAATCACAGAGTAATTGTGGAAACACAAGAAAGTTGTCTACTGTCAGATTCTCCAGTTTGCTGGAGGAGAGAGAGGAAGATCTGAAGATACATAGAGGATTACGAATTGGGAGGTAAAGCAAAAAGGGAAGCAGAAAAGTTATAAAACTATGAGAAGGAAAAAAGAAAATATGCAATAATGAAAAAAAAACCAACCCAGAGTGGTACTGAACAGAAGAGAAAAAAATGGTAAAATTACTGAGAGGAATAGGGAAAAGCAGAAGTGAGGAAGTATTAATGGTTGAGTAAACTGCTGCATTGGGTTTGCAAGGTTTTGGTAGCCAGGGGCTACAGGGGTGGTTTGTGTGAGCAGCTGCCAGAAGCTTCCCCCATGTCCAACAGAGCCAGTGCCAGCGGCTCCAAGACGGACCCACCGCTGGGCAGGGCCGAGCCCATCAGCAGCGGTGGCAGCACCTCTGGGATAACGGACTGAAGGAGGGGAAAAACCTGTGCAACTGCAGCCGGGGAGAGGAGTGAGGGTAAGTGAGAGAAACAAGTGCAGAGCCCAGGTCAGTGAGGCAGGAGGGGCAGGAGGTGCTCCAGGCCCGGAGCAGAGGTTCCCCCAGCCCGAGGTGCAGCCCCTGGGGAGGCAGCTGTGCCCGGCGCCCAGGGAGGGGAACGGTGGGGCAGATCCCACCTGCAGCCCGGGGGGGACCCCACGCCGGAGCTCGGGGTGCCCGAAGGAGGCTGTGACCCCGTGGGAAGGTCCCCGCGCTGGAGCAGGCTCCTGGCAGGACCTGTGGCCCCGTGGAGAGAGGAGCCCCCACTGGAGCAGGTTTGCTGGCAGCACTTGTGACCCCGCGGGGGACCCACGCTGGAGCAGGGGAGGAGTGTGAGGAGTCCTGCCCCTGAGGAGGAAGGAGCGGCAGAGACAAGGGGTGATGAACTGACCACAACCCCCATTCCTGGTCGCCCTACACTGCTGTTGGGGAGGAGGGAGAGAAGTCAGCAATGAGGTTAAGCTTGGAAGAAGGGAGGGTTGGGGGGGAGGTGTTTTAGTATTTAATTTTTATTTCTCATTATCCTACTCTGATTTGATTGGCAATAAATTAAATTAATTTTTCCCCAGTTTGGGTCTGTTTTGCCTGTGATGGTAACTGGTGAATGATTTCTCTCTGTCCTTATCTCGACCCATGAGCCTTTCATTATATTCTCTCTCTCCCGTCCAGCTGAGGAGGGGAGTGATAGAGCAGCTTTGATGGGCACCTGGTGTCCAGCCAGGGTCAACCCACCACAACTGCACAAATCTTTTCCTTTTAATGATGACGTGCTTTTTTTCTTTATAATGGCAAGTGATAATTCAGTTTTAAAGCAAAGATTAGAATGTCTTATTACTTTGATTCTTGGAAAATAAAAATTCATCCTTTTCTGAACATTGAGCACTTTCAAGTGTAAAGATGTTGCAATTCATGAAAATGGTAATTAAACTTAATTATAACCTAAGTGACCTTCTGTGGTGTTAAAATGTTGGCAGAATGTGTTTGTCTTGGCAAGCCACTCTCTCCTAGAAATGCTTCTGTTCTTGTGTTTGTCTTAGAAAGTTCATTGCTGTATGGATCTGCACATACAGTTTTCTCCATCACCCACCAAAGGAATAGGCAGAGATATGAAAAGATGTCACTAGAAGTATGTGGAATGACAAGATTGATACCATCTGAAGTAGAAGTAATAGATAATATTGTTATCTGGATATTGCTGTGAATTACCTTAGTCTTGTGATATTATTT